CCGGGGACGGCTTCGCCTACAGGCCCCCGGAGCGCAGGTGGCCCTTCGGCACGCCCGGGCTGCTGCACGCCTACGGCTCGGGCGGCTACGCCTTCCACTTCTTCCCCGAGCAGCAGCAGTTCAACTCCAGCCTGCGGCTGGCGGCGCTGCAGAGCAGCAGCTGGCTGGACGACAGGACGTGGGCCGTGATCGTGGAGCTGACCACGTTCAACGCGGACGTCAGCCTCTTCTGCTGCGTCTCGGTGGTCTTCGAGGTGTCGGAGCTGGGCGTGGTCAACAGCAGCGTGTCCGTGCACGCCTTCGCGCTGGCCGACTTCGACAGGCGGACCTCGGCCGAGGTCTACCTGTACGCGGCCATCCTGCTCTTCTTCGTGGCCTACACGCTGGACGAGGGCTACGTCGTGGCGCAGCAGCGGGCCGCCTACCTGCGCAGCCCGTACAACCAGCTCAACCTGGCGCTCAAGTGCATCTTCGCCCTGCTGGTGGTGCTGTTCCTGGCCAAGCACTTCGTGGCCGCGGGCGTGGTGGCCTTCCACATGGCCCACCCGAGCGAGTTCGCGCCCTTCCACGCCGTGGCGCGCCTGGACCGCCTGCTGAGGGTCGCCCTGGGCTTCCTGCTGCTCCTGACCACGCTCAAGACGCTGCGCTACTCCCGGCTCTTCTACGACGTGCGCCTGGCGCAGCGGGCCGTGCAGACCGCCCTGCCCGGCATCTGCCACATGGCCGCCGTGGTGGCCGTCTACCTCTTCGTCTACGTGGCCTTCGGCTACCTGGTGTTCGGGCAGCACGAGTGGAGCTACTGCAGCCTGGCGCACGCCGCGCAGACCGTCTTCTCCTACTGCGTGTCGGCCTTCCGGGACACGGCCTTCGCCGACAGCCGGGGCCTGGGCGTGCTGTTCCTGTCCTCCTTCCTGCTGGTCATGGTCTGCGTCCTGCTCAACCTGTTCCAGGCGGTCATCCTGTCGGCCTACGAGGACATGAAGCAGCCGGTGTACGAGGAGCCGTCCGACGAGGCCGAGGCCGTGTCCTTCCTGTGCCGCCGGCTGCGCACGGCCCTGGGCTTCCTGTCCCCCTCCCGCCCCCCGGGGGAGCCGGACTTCGTGGTGGACATGCTGTACGGGCAGCCCAGGCAGAGCGCCCGCCGGTACCTGGGGCTGAAGACGCGGAGCATCAACGGCAAGAAGATGGTCTACCTGGTGGTCTGAGCGGCGC